TTTAACCAATAATTTTGTTTCATCGCGAGTGAGGGTTGGATAAAATAATGTTACAATCAGCAAATGACTTTACTTAATATATTTTTTAAACTTAGCTATTCGAAAGGCAGGATTGCGGGCACACTCGTCTGACATTTGAAAGTCCATATTTAAATATCTGCACGTTTTGAGTTTAATATCCAATTTTACTTTACGAACGAACGAAGAAAATGAAGGAGTATTTTTAATACAAGGAGGTAAAAGAGCATGCGCTTCACTTGATAGTAGGCGAGCGAGCGAGACCGTCGCCCATGAACAACTGCAACACCAGGGGAATTGCAGGTGCGTAGCCGCCGGCCGGCCGGCCTTTTAAAAAAGATCCCTAAGTCGTATCGGTCCGGAAAAATTGCTGGTGTTAGTTGATTCCACAAGGAAGTTGTGCGAGGAAGAAAACTTCTGGTAAATCATTTAGTAGTAGACCGCCAATCATCCAGATGGTATGGATGGTACTTATCGCAAATTTTGTCGTGATGTGCGATGGTAAAATTTAGCGGCTATAATTTTTGAATTTGGAATTATTTTTCATACTATGTAAATATGCATATGGGGTTAATATTACATTTAAAATGTTTAGAGTAAGTATAAGAATAGGCATAAAAGTGAAATTAGCAATGAAGAATATTTTCATACAAGTTTTAACGTTGCGTATCGCGTGTGTATAGCTTTAAAGCTAGTAGCAAAGTTCGCCGGTCGCAAATAAATCCACTAACTTGAAGCCAGCGTTATCGCTGTTTGTTTTACGTCGTAAGTGTTGTTTTAGTATTCATTGTTTCATCGATTTGACATTGCAGATGGAAATATATAGAAATGTTGTTATTTTTTTTAACTATTAACAACCAATGCTTGATTCATCTTGACAAAAGATTCTTCACTCTTGCCTTGAAGGCACCTATTATCTATACTCTATGTATGTATTATATAGATCTATTTAAATAATACTAGCTTTTACGGATTTTATCGCGTATATTTAACTTTTTAAAGACGTTTCGAGCACTTTAACTTTTGAGCACGAGGGATCTGTGACAGTAAACACCTGGCTGCCGAGCTCCACCATGTCAAGCAAGTTTTGCATGACAACAAGCTTCGAGTCCCGCGCCTACGTCACAGTGAACGAGTGAAGCCGGCCACAGTCGAGCGTGTACCTGCTGTACTGCAATACGTTAGAGGAGTCACTGACAAGATTGGCTACATCTTGAAGCGTGCTTCCATCAAAACATACTTCAAGCCGCTGAAGAAGATTGGTCAGTTTTTACCATCAGTCAAGTGTAATGTCCCTCTGCAAGATGCCTCCTGCATCTGTACAAGTTTGATTGTGAATGTGGTCTCTCCTACATAGGACAAACTAAAAGATCAATAAAAACCCGCGTTAAAGAACATATAGCTGATGTGAAGAATCGACGCTCCGGGAAGTCTGCAGTCTGTGAACACGTACAGGATCGCCCCCGTCACTACATCAGATTTGATAGACCGCAAATCCTCGCTAAAGAACACCGATTCCTTCCAAGGATGATTCGCGAGGCTATTGAAATCAAAAAACATCCTAATTTCAATAGAGAAGATGGCTGGGTGCTACCATCTGCTTGGGATCCGATAATAATTAAAATTAAATCCCAACCCATGCATACAACTGCAAGACTTCAAGATACCATAAGTTCATACTGTATAGATCAGAACAAAAGTTAAGTTTTAATCTATGGTAACCGCGGTTAACTTGACATCTAGACGTTGAACATGTCAGTCCCCCACCCCCTGTGACCATGGGTGCTGTAAAGCGCTTGAAACGTCGGGTATTTAAAAAGTTAAACATACGCGATAAAATTGTGTGTTCGCGTAAATATAAGAAATCATTATATTGATCTATATTGTAATGACAGACACCGGTAAATTATTTCATTCCTTTTCATGTACGCATTATATGAGGCTGCATTTTGTGAACATCAATTTAGGTCTTGAAGCTTTGCAGTTTGCTTGGGCTTAGTTTTAATTTTATTAATTACGGGATCCGAAGCAGGTAATAGTACCCAGCCTTCTTCTGTAATGAAATCTGGATGTTTTTAATTTCAATAGCCTCACGCATGATGCGATAGAAACGATGTTCTTTCAAAGAAAAACGCATCGATATTTTATAAAATTTGATGTGATGGCGGGGGCCGTCTAGGATATAATTACAAACTGTAGATTTCACTTGCTTTGCTTCTTGCAGCAAAGCGCCCAAAACCTCAATAATTAAAAATAGTATAAAGCGATAAAATTCGTAAAAAAAAAGTTTTATTGAATGTGTTGTAGTGTTCGCATAAATATAAAAGAAATCATCTATACAGAGTTTTTGTTTTTATTCTCCACATAGATATAAATTTAACACCCTTTGTGCCAATCGCGTGACGAAACTTAATTCGTAACTATTCATAATTTTCAAAGTCGGGAACCTAAAATTAATTCTGCGCCCCAAATTGCGCGTTTTGATTTTGAATAATTTTATAGCTATAACACAATGTCGCTGCGGAATATTCATTAGACCCCTCGAAGATTATCGTTATACCGTGGGTAAATTGCTCAGAGCATAAGCAAGTTATATGTACTTATTCTAAGGATTGTCATCTAATATCATTTTGAGTATACTCTAGGGTTGCCAACCGCAAATTTAAAAAAAACTAGGATTTAAAGTTGGAAAAACCAGGACAATACAGTTTAAAAGAAGGACGCAGTAAAAGCCATGTTAATTGGGAACTGAACTGAACTGAAAACGTGGCAAATGAATGTACTATGTACGCTTCGCCGCGCTATCGGTTCGCTGTCTATTTGATTCTTTAAATTTTAAAATACGTGACCTTATCAGGGCACTTTAAAAACCCAGGACGCTGTTTAAAACTATCCAGGAAATCCCAGGACACCACAAAACCGGACGGTTGGCAACCCTAGTATACTGCACATCTATCAGGCGCAGTAAACTTTTTCTGGCATTTTCCATTATTGGCTTCTTACGCATACCCACAATACGAAATGGGTTGATTTGTTTTAATAACTGGCTTTACGGCTCTGGGTTCTTACTTTTCTGAGCCTATAATTTCTTTCGGAATCTTTATTTTATATTCTTTTTCTTCACAATATGCTGATGCGTCACGTTGCGAAGCCATTGGGAGATTTTACCGACAGCTCAACCCAGCGGACAGTTGATGACGACAGCTACTTAAGTTCATGAGATGCCCAAGCGATCAAAATAACTTGAGGTCTATATCGACATCAAAGCACTTGTTTCGTATTTTTCTCTAGTAGTTCACACGCGAGGACTTCACAAAATCGCATCACTTTTACGAATTAAAATCCACTTCAAACCATTATATAAGCGACAAAACAGGAGCGACAATCCGTCCACGGCCAAGTTCCCGTCAAAACCACCCGAAATGAGTTGATGAATTCTCTGCCGCAGGCCTCCGTTACCGTTAGGCCCGCCGCTGATTGCAATTTTTTGTCGAGGTGACTTTTTGTCACTTAGTCAAGTGTCAATGAAGTCAATGAAAACTATATTGAGTGCGCTCATTATGGTGACGTGATAATACGGTGACAAATAGTTGCAGCGGCAGGCAACACCGGAGTGACGTGACTGTCACGCCCTGTGCATTACTATGGGAGTCCGCTCACTGGTGACTATTTGTCACTCGGCCGGCGCCGCGCGTTCGGAGTAGACGCATGCTATTTAAAGTATTTGTTAAATAGTATTAATATATGTGGCAAATTACTCTGTAGATGATTGTGATATTGCAATTTTTTATGCCTCTGGTTAATAAAGATTTTTTTGTTTAATTAAGTAGTTGATGTAGTTTTTGTTACTTACCTCAAAGTTACCGTTAACCTTTCTTCTGCTGGAATAGCTTTGCAAAGCCAGCAACTAATCAAAAGAGTTTATATACATACGAAGATAATTAAAAAAACTTTGGTGGATACTGACGTAATTCAGAATATATAGTGTAGGATTTTCCTTTAAATAATCTTTCCGTGTATATAGAATGCACCCAGTAGCGTTTTTTCCGTTTCATTTTTCTTCTACGTATTTCAAGAGCACAAATCACGGCAACCTCGTTGAAGTCCATTACAAAAATGAACGCGATTTGTTACCCAAGACCAGATTCAGTGAGCGCATCGTGGGTGACAGCAGGTGACAGTAATAATAAATCACGGTGACAAAAAATTGCAATCAGCGGCGGGCCTTACAGCCTCTAATTCAAATTCAAGTCTCTCAAATCAATTAGTTATAGTTTTTTGGCGGGTAGGCTATCGCAGTTTTTTTAATTGTCATTAGGAAGACGCTGCGGCCCATCTCTCGGTTTGTGTCCTTCTGTCGCTCTTACGACACCTACTATGCGACGAGGGTCGTGGATATTCTTACATTGCCATCACACGGGCAGGCCCCCAGGTTTTTTTTTAACAAAATTTATTAATTAAGATATGGTGTGGGTTTTCCCCGGGCTTGATTAAAAACAGTCATGGTTTTCGAACGGTTTTTGTCATTTTTAGTTTCTAACATAGAGACGTATTATGAAGTTGTGTTATATTACTATTGTGTATCAATCAGTAAAGACCACTTTATGTAGGTTTAGGTAACAAAAAAAAGATGAGAAAAACAAGAAAGTACCGAACATGAAACATGCAGTATTGAAAGGGCGCCTTCTTTAAATCCATTTCCGGCTAGAATGTTACTTTTGATTTTATTTATTAAGCAGATTAATGTTATATTACAAAACTAGCACGCATGCCTCTTGGGGTTTGTCTACGCTAGACAGTCGTTTTATAGACAGAAGCTATGTATAAAAATCAAGTTATTACATTATCCTAGTACTACAATTTAATGGTTACCAGATAATAATATTATGATTTAAGTTTACTTTTAAAAAGTATTGATTTACCGTAAGTCTAAACGTTATTTATGGGTGTGTGTTTTAAACGGCTACTATTTTTAGGAACACATGAACGCATTGCGTCAAGAAGCACCTCAGGTGGATCCTGTTAAGTTGGAGAAACTTTTATCTGCTGCTTATGCACTGATCAGCCCCGAGTTACAGCAGATCAGTTTACCCGACTTCCCTATCGACAGTCTGCAAGCTGCTGCACTTATTTTGGTATGTATGTTTATTTTCAATTTACTTGGTTAAGCATTTGTTATTTCCATCCATAATTACAGCCTTTAATAGTCCACTGCTGAACATAAGCCACCTCCATAGATCGCCTAACAGGGGGAATTTTGCCATAGTTGCAACGATTTGCAGAAGGGTTGCCAACCGCAGATTTTTATTATCCTGAGTTGTTATCAGGAAGATGCTCTTACGATAGACACGGGGCGATATGGGGTTGTGGATATTCTTTCAACGGCATTACAAGGTATCTACTATTTAAATTTAATGAATTATGAAGATAACTGCGTGGTATGGAGTACCTGACTGCCGAATCGCGGGCTCTGAGTTTGAATTAAAGCTAGTTCTAATGTTTGTACTAAGATACCAACTGGTTTTCGTGTGGTTAACAAGGATAATGACTATTGCACTCAAACGTCTATTTCTGATCGTATCGTTGAAGTGTTACATCGAATATTGGCGGCTTTCGATGATGTCGATATAAACATCTCGTTTATTATAGACGTAAAATATCTAGACCAGCGACGAGGAGTAGAGTCAATATTGCGAGATGCAGACAAACAGCAATGGTCTTTAGCATGGCAATAAAGAAAATGATGTGTGTAGTTGACAATTTAAAAAAATATCATCAAACGTACGCAAGTAAGAACTACAAAAGAGAGCAAGAGGCAGGTCAAAGAAAGGGAATATACGAATTTAAAATCATGAAAACAGAGGTAAAGTGCCGATATAAATATAGAGAAAGAAACCATTGCGAAGAAGGCAAGACAAGAAGGCAAGAAGTATAAATTGAATTGACCCCTACTGATAATATTCTGCCTATTAATGCCGTGATCTAAACTCTCCTAAAAAAATTATTATCATCATTATTGTATATGCTATATATTATGTCGTGGTGGTAGATAAACCCAGCTAACATCAGTAACTAAATATTAAAGTAACTAAGCAAGTAATTAAGGCTAGAACCCCGTTGTTTGTGGTTGAATTATTAATTACTTCATGTGATCGCTATATTACATTAGGATTTTCCACGTCAGAATAGAATAGAATAGAATTATTTTAATTCGATATAGATTATAAATTATTTTTATTGAAAGTAGTTTTTTACTTTGACCACTAGTTCTAAAAGATCTGTCCTGGGATAAATAGGTAAGGAACCCCGTGAGACTTTTCATCAGTAGTGAACGTAAACTGACGGTTCAGAAAAAAATTCTGTCCTGGGATAAACAAGTAGGGAACCCCGTGGGATTTTTTCCTCAGTACTGAACGCAAACTGACGGTTCAGAAAAAAATCTCTCCTGGGATAAACAAGTAAGGAACCCCGTGGGACTTTTCCTCCGTACTGAACGCAAACTGACGGCTTAGAAAAAAATTCTGGCCTGGGATAAACAAGTAAGGAACCCCGTGGGACTTTTTCCTCAGTGCTGAACGCAAACTGATGGGTTTAATTTGCGAAAAAATGAAAGCCTGTACCAATGGAAAATATAGACTGTAATTCATGTTTTTTCCGATCATTATCTGCCTATTCGATTCCATAAATTACTATTCTGCAGCGTTAACAGCGTGCGTGATCGTATGTAACTGAGCTTATGGTAAAGAACGGCGCCGCGGTTCACGCAATCTCCATATTTTTGATATGTCAGGGATAAGAATAAGGTAAACATATATAGTAGGATAAATAGTAAATGAAATTAATTTTATGGATTTTATCCCGTTTCATTTTAACTTTTTAATTCCCAACATTTCGAGTGCTTTACAGCACCATGGTCACGAGATGCGACTGAGGTGTTTGACGCCCCGATGTCATAGTTAGCTCGGCAATCTTAAGTTTTTGAATTAAATTTTTGGATCGATCCACACAAAATGAGCTTACAGTATCTTGAAATCTTGCAGTTGTATGCTTTTAGGTTTGGATTTAATTTTATTAATTATAGGATCCCAAGCCGATGGCAGCACTCATCCATCTTCTATATTAAGATTAGAATGTTTTTTTTTTAATTTCAATAGACTCACGAATGGTAAGAATCGGTGTTATTTTATTGCGAGGATTTGTGGTCTATCTAAAGTAATGGTGGATAAAATTCCTTTAATCATTTAATGTTTCGGTTCGTGTTGGGCAACCGATTGTTATGTAACACATGATTCTAAATTAAAAAATGTTCTTGCGTCCATCACTACTACATTCATATGACATTCATACATTCGCACACTGTCTTAAGGTTCAGGGATTAGCTTTTTTACATAAACATTGATTTACTGATTTTATGCTTGCGACGCTAACAAATGGATTTTCGCAAAGTTACGCCTGATTCTATTAATTATATTAAGTTTTTATTTTTTCCTTTCCGTTTGATATTTGACACATTCTACTACTCCTAGCATATGTTGGATATCTTCTGTAATGTGACAAATATACCAATTGATCGAGTCTGCTTTTTGAACAAAAACACATTTTTTATATGGGATTGCCCAGAATGTAACCTATGAATAGTAATTATACGAGTATGTCTATTAATTTCCGAAGAGGCTGACTTTGAATTTCGTATACCATATTTCTTTTCCCCTGCTTCTTTTATCAAAATACTCTCTAAATTCGTCATAAAAAAAGATAGGTGAGAGGGTACCTACTTACTTAATTACCTACTTACGTAATTCACTGACTCAAACGTCGGGAATTAAAAAAGTTAAAATTAAACGCGATCATGAAATTCATAAAATTAGTTGCATTTAATGTGTAGTGTTCGCGTAAATATAAGAAATCATTAGTAGGAATATTTATAAATGATAAATGATCTCTTTATAAAGCCAAATTTATTAAACTAACGTATTGCTGTTATAAATTAGTACATTGTTGTGTATGTCAATGGTCTGTGTTTAAAATATTTCTCTCTTAATTACTATAGTATTTTTAATAAAGTTAGAGTGACACACGAATCATAGAATACTATAATACAAACATAATAGAACGGGGGAGTGGCATTGACTTATATATCCTTATATATCCTTACTATATATATTATATATCCTTACTAGCGTAAGGACCGGGCCGACCGAACAACTAAAACGGACCAATGCGTTGGCCCTAAAATTACAGTTTAGGGCCAACGCGAATCGGTCGACAGTGGTGCGCGCGCAGGACAGATTTGATTTTGTTGCGTGGTAAAAGAACGCAAAATTACGATACAAAGATTTAAAAGAAACATGAGATATCGTATCATCGGTAAATAACCTTATATTAATTTGGTTACAGTTAAATTATTACATAAACGCATTTTTAAAGTTTTATTTTACAGTTAGTTCAGTTACGTTACCAAGATTAGGCCAGGGTTGGATACAGACCCTCAAAAATATTGTACATGGAAAATAAAACTATACTATTTAAAAAAAAATTTATATCAGGTTTGACTTTTCATGTTTCTTTTTTTCCCATCGTTCATCACTCGTCTAGTTTATCTATACGTTTCGTTTTTGACGGTTTTATTTTTATTTCTGTTTAAATTTTGTCTAAAGAACTTAGTGTAAGGTTAATTTTGAATATTGGTTACTAATATATTTTATATAAGGGTAAAACGATAAGAGTACAAAAGAAAAGGATCGATCGAGCATCGATTGACCAGAAAGGGAGCTAACTCCATTTTTTTTTAAAACGCGGTACTCATGTAAAATAATATAAAAGGACCCAATAATAATAGAAGTCGACCTTTATATATTACTATTTAATACAAACTATGAAATAATGGTACAATTAGAATAATTATACTACGAAATCCGACCCTGGTTACGTCGTGTTTTGATATGACGTTTATATTATGACATATGCGTTACTTTTCCTTGTATGAGAAAGTTATGAGTAAAATATTCAGATGGGCCTATCCTTTCTTTTGAAATCATTGGGGAGTGGGTGGAGCCCGCGTAGCCACTAAAATTTCACTAACACGTCAATTCACACGTATAAATGTCAACACGAGATGTGTTTTGACGTTACAATCGTTGCCAAATTTCGCATGAGATTTATTTAGAAAATGTCAAATTGCACCTTATTTACAAATAAATATGTATTATAAAAAATTATAAATGATGATCCTGAACACTTGTGTAAATTTACTGAGTCTGTCAACACAGCGAATCGTGTTTGGCGACGCCAATCCTCGCATAAAATAAAGTTGACAGCCGTTCTATTGTATATTCTATGAACACGAATGCAATGTCCATTTGATGTTATATAGATGCTTTTCCCCGTAGACACCTACATCTATTCTCGCTTAAAAACTGAAAACTATGATAAATTTCATTCATTCAATCATCGCCTAACAAAAGTCGACTGTTAAACATACCCTTTACCATAGATTGGCTTATAAGCGGATTTCGACACAGTCGCACGGCAGGTGTGTCGGTTGGCAACCGCAGTTTTTTTGTTGGTATCAGTTATTATCAGGAAGATGTTGCTGCCCATCTTCTGTTTTAATTCCCTCTGTCGGCTCTTCGACACACACGTGTTGATATGTGGTAGTAGATTCTCTTACATTAACCCTTACTTTTCCTGACAAATTAACTTAATCTGCTATGAAAACTGTCAAATATTTTATCTCATAAGTGGCGCCGCTCTGATGGCAGATAAAGTCGTGGATGGAGCCTTGGTAGCTCAAATGGTTAGCGTTCGCTGTAAAGTCACATTACGCGAGCAACCCGGGTTCGATCCCCGCGGGCATCAATGAAATTGTTAATTGCAATTTTAAGTTATGATTTACCGCGTGCTCGAGGAAAACATCGTGTGGAAACCTGCATGTCCGAGAAATAAAAAAAATATTTCGAAGACATGTAAAGTTCGCCAACACGCATTGGGGCAGCGCGGGAGACACTCCCTTGCCCTAAAACCCTCTTAAAAATGAGAGGAGGTCTTTGTCCAGCTGTGGGACGTATGTAGGCTGTAAATTTGATTTTAACGTAGATTATGTTGCTTTTAATTTAGTATTGTGTGGGGGCGCAACCGTTCTTATAATACAGCTGTAGCGGGGTTATATTACCTCTGACCCTATATTAATATAGTGTTATCCAGACCAGGGTAAGATTATAGTGCACGAGTATGATCTCTATTCCCTCACTCATATACTCCGATGGGACGGTAATCCACAAAAATACGAAACGGTTAAATTTTTTCAGGACCAAGCTCTGACGGACAAGTAGTGTCGAATGTCGATGCACGCAGGCAAATGTAGATTATTAAAAAACTGATTAATATATTTAACTAAAATAATTATTTCATAAATTTATTTCATGAATACGACTTAACACACTTGTTGTTATTTATAGGAAAAGAACCCCAGTATACCAATACACAAGCTCTTATACCTTTTATATCCGTACAATACATTCCTTACTAAGGATCACGTTAAGAACGTACATGGAGTCTTGCACAACCTGAATATAGAAACAAAATCAAAATGGAGTATATCCCGCCAAGGTGTGGAGTTCAGAGAAAAGAAGGCTTTAGTGACCATGGATATAAACGGCAATAAGTCACAATTTAGCGTGCCGTGCGGTGAAAGTGAATATAGAAGGGAAGAGAAGGGTTTCGTAAAGACTAGTTATCAGAATGAGCTGCTGAATGAGTTATTGTTGAGTCATAGTGTTGGAGACTTTTGTGTTATCGGTGAGTATAGTATAAATTATTAACTCTCAGAAAAGAAGAAGATCTATCTCTTCTCCTCGGCCAGGTGCTGGACGTATGTATATGCTGCTAGCTGTGCCCCGCGGTTTCACCCGCGTATGTCATGTGTCTAAACCGCGCGACATGACATGACACTTTAGAAAGCAATGTATGGAAAATGTCAAAATTAATGGAGTACTTTCTACTATCGGTATCTGTTCATTATAGAGCGAAGTTAAGTTTTATCCACTCTCCCTCCCCATCCCAGGTGAACGTCACCCTCCTCGCCTTATAGTTTCTCGAAGCGCGAGTTTTTTTTTCAGTTTTAAAGAAAACCATACACGATACATAAAAAGTGTGTAGATACGATAAAATTTCATCCACTTTCCTTCACCCTCCCAGGTGAGGGAAAGTGGATGAAATTTTCCATCCACTTTATTTACTTTACATCCATTTTCATTCCGCAGGGTGGACGGAAAGTGGGTAAAATTTTCACTTCGCTCTATAACGTGCATATGCCGATAGATAAAAGCACTCCATTAATTTTACCAATTTTTTAGCTAAAATGATTGAACTAACATCTCTCATAGAAGCGTTTACTGATGGCTTTCTCTCGGCTCTCATCGGGCGGCGAGGGCTTATGAGTCGTTCGCGCGCTAAGCCGAGTGTTTAATTATTTTAATCTTTCATTATCTTTTAAACTATGCGTCAATATAACATGCTATAAAGAACAAAACTTTATCTTCATGAAATTGTTCTAATTATCTTGTAACTTTCGTTTGTTTTTCTTTAATTTTCAATAATTTTTCGTCACAAAATACCATATTGTGGCTTATATATAGGAAATAAAGGATATATTTCCCGGAATTTTTCTAGATGGAGTAAAGATTTATATTTTTGTAGAACATTGTATTTACGTATCACTAACCATGACGCCAGCGCACGCGGATAAATCATTTCGGGAGTGCTTTTTTTTCTGACTTTCTTAATAAGAATCAATATTTAAGGCTAGCTGAGAAGTGTAGCCTAATGTTAGCTTAATGTTAGCTTATAACCTATACTATTCCTCATGAATCTGGCTATAATATACAAAAAGTATTTTTTCAAATCGGGCTTGTAGTTCCAGAGATTAGGGTGTTTAAACAAACAAAAACAACTCTTGCGCTTTATTATCAATAAAAAAATGTCTTAGTTTGTTTCCGGCAATAAAAACAATTAAAATTTTACCGAAATAGAATGTGGCAAATAGCTACTCAATAAACACCAACACAAGCGACTAAAAAAATTAAAGTAAGTAGTAGTTCAAACCTAGGAATAATTCCGTACAAGGCGTGGATAAAATACGTTGCCTAGTTGAAAATGCATAACTTTTAGGGAAGTCATTTTAAAGTTTATATTTTATTAGTAAATTTATTTTATGGACATTTTCTGCTAATGTAATGTAATATTTACGAATTTTCATATTAATCAACAAAGTAAATGACATATCAAGTCGTACACCGTTGATTTGTCTAATAACTTAGGTGAATATATTGGAAACAATATTAAAATAAATTATAAATGTCTACGCATTAATCCTATAATCGTTTCAATTAATCAATGCTAATATAAAACAAAAAAAACACTTATGTATTTTATAAAATAATGTATTTTATAAAAAAACACTTATGTATTTTATAAAATAATGTATTTTATTTTAGTATCAAATCACGGAAGTTTTAACATTAATTTATATTCTTATTTCTTTTCTTGCATATCGGCGTCTGATCCACACACGGTCAGTTCAACTGATCATTCCAACTAATCAGTTCAAACTAGAACTGTTGATATTTTTTAAAATACTGGATTTTAGATATATCAATCATTATAAATATATTAATATTAGAGTTTTACATACTACACTATTCCGATGATATCCCGGACGTCAGTCTGAGCGAGATTAGAATGGCTCTCCAGCACCTTAAAAACGGCAGGGCCCCAGGCAAGGATGGAATTACAGCGGAGCTTCTGAAAGCGGGTGGAACACCGGTACTTGAAGACCTTCAGAAGCTCTTCAATTCCGTCCTCCATGGTGGCACTACTCCGGAGGCGTGGAGCAGAAGTACGATGGTCTTGTTCTTTAAGAAAGGCGACAACGCTCTCTTGAAGAACTACAGATCGATTTCCCTTCTGATCCGCGTCTACGTGCTGTTTTCGAGAGTCATTACGAATCGTTTCGCACGCAGACTCGACGACTTCCAGCCTCCCGAACAAGCCGGTTTTCGAAAAGGTTTCAGTACCATAGACCACATACATACCCTGCGGCAGATGGTACAGAAGATCGAAGAGTACAATCCGCCACTTTGCCTGGCGTATGTGGACTATGAGAAAGCCTTTGATTCCGTCGAAATTTGGGCGGTGCTACAGTCCCTTCAGCGGTGCCAAGTTGACTGTCGGTATATCGAAGTGCTGAAGTGTTTGTAAAGTAGGGCTACGATGGCTATCCGAGTACAGAACCAGAGCTCGAAACCTATCCAACTGCAGAGAGGTGTAAAACAGGGTGACGTTATATCCCCGAAACTCTTCACCGCTGCGTTGGAAGACGTTTTCAAGCTACTGGACTGGAAAGGATACGGTATTAACATCAATGGCGAGTACATCACTCACCTTCGATTTGCCGACGATATAGTCCTTATGGCAGAATCGCTGCAGGACCTTAGCGCTATGCTCAATGACCTCAATGGTGTCTCCCAACGGATAGGTCTTAAGATGAACATGGACAAAATAAAGATCATGTTTAATGTCCATGTAGTTAAGTGCACCTATGTCGGTAGTTGTTGGGAGCACTATGCTCGAAGTTGTTGACGAGTACGTTTACCTGGGACAAATAGTCCGACTAGGTAAGTCCAACTTCGACCGAGAGGTCAATCGACGGATTCAACTCGGCTGGGCAGCGTTCGGGAAATTACGACACATCTTCTCGTCAGGTATACCTCAAACTCTGAAAACTAAAGTGTACAACCAGTGCGTGTTGCCAGTGATGACTTACGGATCAGAGACGTGGTCCTTCACTGCTGGCCGTATGAGGACGCTCAAGGTCGCTCAGCGAGCTATGGAGAGGGCTATGCTCGGAGTTTCTCTGCGTAATAGACTCATAAATGAGGATATCCGCTGTAAAACCAGAGTGACCGACATAGCCTAACGGATTAGTAAGCTGAAGTGGCAATGGGCCGGCCATATAACCGATAACCTATGGGGAAGAAAGGTTCTCGAGTGGCAGCCTCGTACCGGTAGGCGTAGTGTAGGGCGACCCCCCACTAGAGTGGAGTGACGACCTGGTAAGACATGCAGGAAGTCGATGGATGCAGGTGGCTCAGGACCGTGCTTTGTGGCATTACTTGGGGGAGGCCTATGTTCAGCAGTGGACTTGTGAAGGGCTGTAATGATGATGATGATGAGAGTTTTACATATAAGTTTACTCATGGATATATCGAAAATCCGATATTTAAAAAAATATCAACAGTATTGGTTTGAACTGATCAGTTGGAATGATCACTTTAACTGACCGTGTGTGGCAACTATAAGTGTGACTGTCAGTTTTAATGTTTTTAAGAAATCGTAAAAAGCGAGCTCTTAAAGTGGTAATAATTCTAGCAATCGGTGTAGTGGCGAAGTAAGAATATCCACTACCTCGTATTACCGTTTCGTGGTCGTGAGCGTTCGTTCTAGAGGCGACAGAGGGAGAGTTAAACAGAAGATGAGCAGTAGCATCGTTCTGATTACAACTTTGTGGCATATAGACATCGCCGTTTGTTTTCGATTAGGAATCAAAATGCAGATGCGTTGTCACCCCTAAGAACTAAGATAGAATGTATTGGAGAAAAAATATTCGGTAATTTTCGTCTTGGTAGAAAACAACCACGAGGATGACTTTAAACCCACAATAATATATCCTGCTATTCCACAACTATTCCAGCAAGCTTGCTATTCCGGCAAGGCGTAACATTTTTTTTAAGTTCAGAGTTCAAACAAAATATCCCCCAAAGCACAAATTCCGTACATGGCGTGTATAGGTTGCCAAGCCGAAGAGTAGATTTCTTAATTAGAAAATTATTCAAAATTGGCATCTGGATTGCCTAAGTTGTATGGTGAATAAATGAGTAAGTCGACAGGCTACTTATTTTTGGTACACCGCACTTGTGAATTTTAAACAACCCACATACTAATAAGTAATATATGACAACTGGATATATCTAAACACACTGATGTAATTTATTTAAATAACTCAACATGTTAAGCTGTGATCATTACCACGAGGCGGAATTTGTGCTTGTTTGGAACTCTTAACTTACAATAAACAAGAACTCATAACAATATTATGTTTCGTCTAGAAATGTTACAATATTAAGGCTTTTCTGTTACAAGGTCCAAAAGGCTGCGGCAAGAGTCTCCTCGTATCTCAACTCGCGTCCTTATTACATTACACAATAGAGCCGATAGTCCTTTACCAGGATATGACGGCGAGGGATCTAGTGCAGCAGCGTACTACGCTGGACAATGGAGACACAGTGTGGAGGAACTCTGCGCTTGTTGAAGCGGCGTTGAAGGGACATATGGCGGTACTGGATGGCTTGCATAGAATCCATTCCAGTACTCTGGCTGTTCTACACAGGTAATAGTCTTACAAGCATTTTATACGTGATAGAGCCACGCTACGGCTATATTATGGTTGCAGCACGAATGGGTCGGCTCAACCGGGGAAGAACTACGTTCTCACAGAATATCAGCGTAAAATAGCAGTTTAATACTGCTCTGTTTCTTATGGTGAGTATAGAGATTTAAAGACTCTTTTTCACTGGAAATGAGGCATCCCATCTTAGTACTCAGGGCTGACAACGCACCTGCGTTTTGATTCTCAATCGAGGATGAATCTAGATGTCTATGGGCCACAGCATTCACTTACCATCAGGTGGACTGTGTGCTCGCTTAGCACTCTTATTCCATAAAAACCAGTTCTATTACCATTACTCCCTATCTAGTAAGTCTACTGCTGAATATACTCCTCCCCCATACCTCCAAGCGCAGTTTTCTATAATTGTGATTTGTTGTGATGAAGATGCTGCTGCCAATCTCCCACTTCATCTCCCTCTGTCGCCTCTTACGACACCCATGTGACGATATGGGGTATTGGATATTTTTACACCTCTACTACATGGTGATATAATAATTTATAAGCAGAAATTTTTATTATAGCCTTATTTTTTTTTGATAGCACGGCCAAATCAATCCAACGCTGTGACGAGATGTTACATCTCTTTGCATATTCTAACGCATCTACCTACCACGGGAAGTGCTTAGAGGAATTTTTCTGATTAATTCCAGCAGTTCGTTTTCACCAGCTCAATTTCACCATCGCACATCGCGATGAAATGCGTGATATGATCCATACCATTTGGATGATTGGCGATCTACCACTTTTTTATAGAAGAGGTAGCAAACGAACATACGGCTCACCTGATGGTAAGTGAGTACCGCTGCCCATGAATAACCGCAACACCAGAGGATTTGGAACCACTACGCGATTTATAACAAGATTTTTCCCCGCACAACTTCCCTGTGAAATCGACTACCACCAGCGATTTTTCTAGATTGATACGACTTAGAGACCTTCTAGAAAAGAGTCTATTCTTTTTTTTAATGCGGGCAAGGCACAAGTCACTTACCATTAGGTGAGACGCATGCTCGTTTGCTCCCTCTTTTATAAAAAAATAGTCACATCTGTTCTTGCGCATACACTTGTGCACTGTAATCCTGTCCTGTGTTGATGGCTAGTCTCAGTTGAGACTGGCCGCCGTGACAGAAAAGCTTGGTATATAATATTGTAGGTATATTTTAAATGTTTTATTAAGTTCGCATCGCAAAGAACCTGGCCAGATGAGGCGTGTTACGCGAGAGTCGATTCGCGCGTAGACACTCGCCCGTACCCGAGATACTAGAGCTACATACATTCCGCCCAGATGATGACGCGCGTTTCTTCACTCGTGCGTAAAACGCTAGTAATGAGTGACACTCCCGACTCGCGCGTTTTACGCGCGAGCGCCGCGCGAGTCGAGATACTCGGGCGCCATTACTGCGTGCAGTAAACGCGAATCCGTAGCGATTGGACTTATTACAAAATGGAGCGTGATAGCTTCGATACCTAACTTTTTATAGAAGAAATTGAAAAAAGAGTGGCCATATGGGATAAGGAATCTTCAGACTATTTCAATAGAGTAATAAAACGTAGTAACTGGGAAGAAATAGTCGAAATTTTTTGTGAACCTGGCGATTCCAAAGAAAAGATAAAAGCTTTAGTTAAGTAAACAATAGTTTATTTAATAATATTATTTCTTAGACAACATTAATTTTACTATATCATTTTATCTCGCCATGGGAGTTTGCCTTCGTTTACAAAATAGTTTTATAATAACTGAATCCCTTCCAGCGTAGGAACGCGCGTAAAACATGTTATCTGGGTGCAATATAAATTGAAACGCGTGAGTTCACTCGCGCGTAAAACGCCTCATCTGCACAGGCTCTTTCAAAATTCCCTCATAATTATTACCTCACTCCGGGGACCTCTCGCAATTCCCATTGGAATTTCTAACATTTAACCAATAATAGAAAACAACAGTTACCGTTGCATCGTATTAAAGTCCCCTGCTGAACGCAGGTTTCTCCCATAGATTGCCTTATAGGGGGGGATATTTGCCATAATTGCCACCCTTGGCAAGCGTTTGGCAACCGCAGTTTTTTTTGTTTCTATTCGTTATTAGCAAGACGCTGTTGCCCATCTCCTGCTTTGTTTCCCTCTGTCGCCTCTTACGACACCCACGGGATGATATGGGCATGTGGATATTCTTACACCGCCACTACACGGTAATAGAAAACAAATTTAAATTAAATTTATCTTAATGATTTCTTAAATTTACGCGAACACTACACATTGAATAAAACTAAATTTACGGATTTTATCGCGTTTATTTCACTACTTTTACTTATTTTTAATTCCCGACGTTTTGGGTGCTTTACAGCAACCATGGTCACGGGGGGGACTGAGATGTTCATGGTTGCTGTAAAGCACCCGAAACGTCGGAAATTAAAAAAAAAATAAGTAAAAGTAGTGAAATAAACGCGATAAAATCCGTAAATTTAGTTTTATTCAATAAATTTATCTTTTCTCAGTCTAGTGCACAACCGGGCACTACAACTCCACGACGGGACGCGGTTGCTACGCCACGATAGATACGACGAGCTGCTGTCGTTAGGCATTAGTCAGCAGGAGTTAGACGAAAGTGGTGTGAAGAGAATCCATCCCGCGTTCAGGTAATAAACCTCGACGTTATGATTTCTTATATTTACGCGAACACTACACTTGGAAATAATACTAGTTTTTACGGATTTTATCGCGTATATTTAACTTTTTAAATACCCGACATTTCGAGCGCTTTACAGCACCCATGGTCACGGGGAGGACTGAGATGTTCAACGTCCAGATGTCATAGTTAACCGCGGTTGCCATAGATTAAAATTTAACTTTTGTTCCGATCTACACAGTATGAACTTATGGTATCTTAAAGTCTTGCAGTTGCCATGCATGCTTGGGCTGGGATTTAATTTTATTTATTGTAAGATCCCAAGCAGATGGTAGCACCCAGCCATCTTCTCTGTTGAAATTTGGATGTTTTTTTGATTTCAATAGCCTCGCGAATCATCTTTGGAAGGAATCGGTGTTCTTTAACGAAGATTTGTGGTTTATCAAATCTAATGTATTGACGGGGACGATCTTGTACGTGTTCACAGACTGCAGACTTCCCGGAGCGTCGATTCTTCACATCAGCTATATGTTATTTCACGCGGGTTTTAATTGATCTTTTAGTTTATTCTATGTAGGAGAGACCACATTCACAATCAAGCTTGTACACTCCTGCATCTTGCAGAGGGACTTTACACTTGACTGATGGTAAAAACTGACTAATCTTCTTGAGTACTAAACGGCTTGAAGTATGTTTTGATAGAAGCGCGCTTCAACATGTAGCCAATCTTGTCAGTGACTCCTCTAACATATTGCAGTACAGCAGGTACACGCTCGACTGTGGCAGGCTTCACTCGTTCACTGTGACGTAGGCGCGGGACCCGAAGCTTTTTGTCATGTAAAACTTGCTTGACGTGTTGGAGCTCGGCAGCCAGGTGTTTACTGTCACAGATCCCTCGTGCTCTCTGAAACAAAGATTTACCCACGGTAGCTAACTGTGAAGGATGGTGGTGACAATCACCGTTTAAAATCTATTATAATATCTATTTGGGTCTTTTTTCTATACACGGTATGGCTCAAGGTGTTATCAGGAGGTATTTAAAAAGTTAAATATACTCGATAAAATCCGTAAAAACCAAGCAATCAAGAAATACAGATCACTAAATAACCTTAAATTTAAAGAAATAACCAATAAACTTTTGGTAAATCCAAATGTGCATGGCTGCTGCATGAGATTGGCCTTATGTGTGTGTATAGATTTGCTTTGTCACTCTTTCCTATATCTAATCATAAGTAGGTAAGAGGTGCCTAGTACATAGACGGACTCGTAGGCGAAAAGGGAAATGTACTAACTAGTACACAATTTATTTAGGGCGTCGTCTGTGGAAGAGAACTCGCCTTTTTTGGAAGTTGGTTCATTGCCATTTAAATAAATGTTATGTAATGTACATTTACGAGAAGGCGAGTATATAGAAAAGGAAGAGCTCCTTAGCAAATTGTGGTATTGCAAGGATTGTAGGCGTTGAACTCAATAGTTTTTTTATAAGCATTAGCTGAGATTCGAACGGACTTTCAGTTGTATTAAGCAAGCAGCTTCGCTAACCAACTATCTCACGGTTTTTGTGTCAGGTGTGGAGGTTTATTTATGTGATATTTATGTATGTAGAATGCCTCCACTATACAAGAAAAATTCCTATTAGAAAAGAGTAAATTTAAAAAAATAAGAAAAAATTTACAAAAAACGTAAGTATAAATTTAATATGTATAAACTATAATAGTACTTACCATATATTTTTATTATAGAATAGTGGCTCTCGCCGAACCACCATCATTCGATCGCGGACAACATTGGTTAACTCCGGAAATACTCAGCCTCTTCATATTCCACGAGATGCGCAATCTGAGTAAAGAAGAAGAAATATTTATCATCAAATCTTTGGTAAGAAGTTTTCTATTATTGAAAAAAAGGACAAAAAGAGAGTCCTTCACCTCATTCGTTCCACGGCTTCCGATAATACATGGTGGGATACAGTTCCGTTTACGTCAGGCGTAAAGACCGAGAACGCGAGCAGTGCCAAAGGTGCAAAATATTGGGTCCATACATATGAAATTAACATTTTGTCGTACTGACCACTTTGATCTGAAATATCCCCTCTTTGGTTAAGAATTCTAAATTCAAATTTATAAATTCATTTAGTTGGTACATTTGAGTTTTGAAAACAGTCATTCATCGGTTTTCACCTCATTATTTTTTTCTTTGACGTCGCTTATTACCGCATAATGAAAAACATGAAATATCGGTATTTTTACGAGTACGAGTTCTACCGTGGCACCAGTGCTGCAGAAACAGCTCGAAGGATTAATTATGTGTACGGCGCTGGTGTCGCAAAAGAAATTACGGTACGGTTTTGGTTTCAACGTTTTCGTTCTGGAAATTTTGACCTTCAGAACCAACCCCGTGGACGGCCGGAGACCAAAGTGGAAAATGCAGAATTAAAGGCTATTGTGGAAGCGGATCCATCACAAAGCACTTCAGAGATAGCTGCAGGCTTCGGGGTAAGTGATAAAACTGTATTAATCTACTTGAATCAAATCGGGAAAGTAAAAAAAAAAACCTGAATGATGGGTACCTCATGAATTGAGTGAATCGAACTTGCAAACACGCGTAGACTGCTGTGTTACTGTGCTCAACCAACACAAAAGTGAAGGAATTTTAAATCGAATCATTACTTGTGATGAAAAGTGGATACTGTACGATAATTGGAAGCGCTCGTCGCAGTGGCTGAACCCTGGAGACCCAGCCAAATCCTTTCTTAAACGAAAATTGATTTAGAAAAAGTTACTTGTGAGTGTTTGGTGGACTAGCGCCGGTGTCGTTCACTACAGCTTTCTAAAATCTGTCCAAACGATTGTGGCAAATATCTATTGTCAGCAACTGCAAACTATGAAGGAAGAACTAGCTGCTAAACAACCGAGATTGGTCAATCGCTCTAGGCCACTGCTGGTTCACGACAGCGTAAGACCACACACTGCACAACAAACAACCACTGAGTTAAATGAGCTACAATTGGAATGTCTGCGACATCCACCGTACTCCCCGGACCTTGCTCCAACAGATTACCATTTTTTTCCGGAATTTGGACAACTTCTTACAAGGAAAAAATTTCAACTTCGATGCGGCAGTCCAAACCGCCTTCAAAGAGTTTATTGATTCTCGCCCCCATGGATTTTTTTAGTAAAGGGATCAATGAACTACCTATGAGATAACAACAGTGCATACTTTGATTAATTAAATATATTTTACAAAAAAAAATTGACTTTATATTCTTCCCGTACAAAACGTAATTTCATATGTAAGGACTTATTATAATGGTACTGTGATCATCCATCAGCATACCACGACAGAGACTCATCTCCAGCAGTGAACCTTTGACGTGTTAATTATGAAAAAAAAAGGAAAAAAATTTTTTAAGCAAAACTTTCGTTGCACTGAAGATTTTTACCGTTACGGTTATACGTTTGACAGTGGTAGAGCCACGCGGCAGCTTTGCTGTCGCACGTATGGGCCGGCTCAAACCGGGGTGGTACCACGACCTCACAGAATACCGGCGTGAAGTGGAAGCTCTGCTTCCGCGTTTCGTCTGGTGAGTGCAGGTGGCCGGAGGCCCAAATCCCCCCCCCCATCAACATGGTAGCGGAATTAAATGATAGACTACCCCAGGAGGGTACCAGCACCCCTGGAGAATCCCTCGCTGAGCATCCACGACCATGTTTCTCCACTTCTGAGCGTTGGTGCTCAGGCTGCCCCGCGTATTCTGGGGGGGCAATATTCCGCTCAAGACTAAAACTGCTCGGGGCAAACGGAGCAACAAGACCAAGGCGACCCCTGCCACGCTGTCCGTGAATTTCTGCAATATCAGGGGACTTCACTCTAACCTAAACGCCGTCCACTACCATCTCGAGACGGCGAGGCCGGCTTTGCTCTTTCTGACCGAGACGCAGGTGTCCTCTCCGGCTGATGTCTCGTATCTCTCCTGCCCGGGGTACAAACTGGAACACTCCTTTGTGCCTCGGGCTGGAGTTTGCGTTTACGTCAGAGAGGACATCTGTTCTCGACGCCTCGGCAGACTTGAAGGTTCGGACCTGTCCATCCTTTGGCTACGCGTAGACAGCGACGACCATCCGCGCGTCTACGGGTGCCTCTATAGGTCCCATAGCGGTAATGCCGAAACAGACCGACTCTTCGACCACGTCCAAATGGCTGCAGATTCGTTGCTACAGCAGATCCCCTCCGCAGAGATCGTGATCCTCGGCGACTTCAACGCCCATCACGCCGAATGGCTCGGTTCACGTTTAACCGATCATGCGGGGAGATCTGTTCGTGATTTTGCCTTGGCATATGGTCTGACACAACTGGTTACTTCGCCTACGCGGATTCCAGATGTGGAGGATCATGCACCTTCCCTGTTGGACCTTCTGCTGACCTCTCACCCGGACGGATATCAGATTTCCGTCGACGCCCCTTTAGGCTCCTCGGATCATTGTCTTGTCCGGAGTGTGGTGCCACTCACGCTGAAATCGCGGTTGCATTCTGCAGGCTGCCGCCGTGTTTGGCACTATAGGTCAGCTGATTGGGATGGGATGCGGTCTTTCTTTGCATCCTACCCTTGGGGGCGGGTTTGCTTCTCGCCGGATGATCCCAACGTTGTTGCGGATTCTGTCGCTGATGTGGTACTTCAGGGTATGGAACTTTTTATTCCTTCCTCTGTGGTGCCCATTGGAGGCAAATCTCAGCCTTGGTTTGGTCGCTCCTGTAAAATAGCATCATGCTATAAGCAGGAGTGCTACCAAGCCTGGGCTGACGCATCAGCGTCCAGGGATGTAAACACCAGCGCTCTAAAAAAGAAGTATAATTCCGCCTCTAGGTCCTTCAAAAGAGTCATTGCCAAGGCAAAGTCAGAGCACATAGGCAGAATTGGCGAGAGACTAGTTCGTCTTCCTTCTGGAACCCGTGCATTCTGGTCTCTCGCCAAGGCTGTCCAGGGGAATTTCTGTCAGCCATCTCTTCCATCTCTGCACAGGGAGGACGACTCACTGGCCCACACCGCAAAGGAGAAAGCCGATCTTCTAGGCTCTTTCTTTGCGTCTAACTCGACTCTCGATGACGGGGGGAGTACGCCGCCGACCATCCCGCGGTGTGAGTGCTCCATGCCGGAAGTGCACTTCACTCAGCGCTCGGTTCGCAAAGCACTCCTCTCCCTGGACATCCATAAGTCGAGTGGGCCTGATGGAATCCCCCCAATTGTGCTGAGGACGTGTGCTCCAGAGTTGGCACCGGTTTTAACGCGTCTTTTCCGGTACTCCTACTCCCTAGGCGTAGTCCCAAAATCATGGAAGACGGCTTTCGTCCACCCGATCCCTAAAAAAAGGCGACCGCTCAGACCCGTCCAACTACCGGCCTATCGCCATCACCTCCTTGTTCTCCAAAACAATGGAGTCCATTGTAAACTGCCAGCTCATGAGGTACCTTGAGGATCACCAGCTGATTAGTGACCGCCAATACGGTTTTCGCCGTGGTAGGTCAGCTGGTGATCTTCTGGTCTACCTAACTCACAGATGGGCGGAGGCAGTAGAGTCCAAGGGGGAGGCATTGGCCGTTAGTTTGGACATTGCGAAGGCCTTCGATCGGGTTTGGCACAAAGCGCTTCTTTCGAAGCTCCCTTCCTATGGGCTTCCCGAGAAATTGTGCGATTGGATCACCAGTTTTCTTGAAGATCGGAGCATCAAGGTCGTTGTAGACGGTGCAAGCTCCGATTGCAAGCTTATTAATGCTGGTGTTCCACAGGGCTGCGTGCTATCGCCAACGCTGTTTCTTCTGCATATCAATGATATGTTGCAAACCCGTAGCATTCATTGCTATGCAGATGACAGCACTGGTGATGCTCTTTACACCGGCCGAGCAAATATTTCTCGGGAAAACGTCTCTGAGTGCCGGGACAAACTTGTGTCTGAAGTCGAGTCTCTGCTGGACAGAGTCTCGGATTGGGGGCGACTAAATCTAGTCCAGTTTAACCCCCAGAAGACACAAGTTTGCGCGTTAACCGCTAAAAAGAACCCCTTTGTCGTATCCCCTCAGTTTCAAGGCACTCCCCTTGTTGCCTCAGCCAGTATCGGAATCCTCGGCGTCGACATATCAAAGAGGAAGAGAAGGCCAAATTGGCCTCTAAAAAGCTTGGCGTGCTCAGCAGAGCGGGACAGTATTTCATGCCGGCACACCGCCTGCAACTTTACAAGGCGCAGGTTCGGCCGCTCATGGAATACTGTTCCCATCTCTGGGCTGGGGCTCCCCAGTACCAGCTCCTTCCACTTGACCGCATCCAGCGCAGAGCGGCTCGAATCGTCGACGACCGAGTGCTTTCCGATCGGCTCGATTCACTGGCGCTGCGAAGAGATGTTGCATCTCTTTGCGTACTTTATCGCATCTATCACGGGGGAGTGCTCTGAGGAATTGTTCGGATTAATCCCAGCCGCCAAATTTCGTGAACGCACTACACGGCAAACGTCCCGATACCATCCACACCATCTGGATGCTTGGCGGTCCACCACTGTACGTTTCAAAAGGAGTTTTCTTCCGCGTACAACCTCTCTGTGGAATAATTTACCACCGGTGATTTTTCCGGACCGATACGACCTGGGGACCTTCAAGAAAAGAGCTTACTCCTTTCTAAAGGGCCGGCAACGCACCTGCAATTCCCCTGGTGTTGCGGTTGATCATGGGCGGCGGTAGTCACTTAACATCAGGTGAGCCACATGCTCGTTTGCCCCCTCTTCTATAAAAAAAAAAAAAAAGCATATTAGATATTTTTACCGTTACTGTTATAGTATATTGAAGATTTTTACCGTTACGGTTATAGCAGATTGAAGATTTTTACCAATACCGTTATAACGTATCAAAGTCCACTACTGAAAATAGGTCTCCCCATAGTGCCTCATAGGAGGGATATTTGCCATAGTTGCAACGCTTGGCAAGCGGGTTAGCAACCATAATAATATTTTTTTTATTGTGGTTATATTGGGGTAGTGGATATTCTAAGACCGCAATTATTCGGTCGCTGATCTCTTTTATAGAATAAGCGTGACAAACGAACACACAGTCCACCTGATGGTAAGTGGATGCTGATGGGTAAAGACATATACATTTATTCTCGATTAGGAATCAAAATGCAGATGCGTAGTCATATCTGAGCACTAAGATGGAATACCTTGTTTTCAGTATAATGGGTCTTTTCCCATATAAAGGATCTTTGATTTAATCCTCTCTTCCTGTGGTTGGATCTTTTCGCAGGGAACACAGTCAGCATTCTTGGCACTATATTGCTGGGAGTAGGGCTGTGTGATAATTTAAGTTTTTAGTTTTAGTTTTTTTTTTAAATTATGTTATAAAATATTGTATACAGGATGTTGGGCGTATTTCCCCGGTAGACGCTATGTTCTAAGTGTCCCGGTAGCTGATATATGATCGTTATAGGTTTTTTTTTAAATCACCCGAAATCTGTCCTTATATGACAAAAAAACCATAACGATCATATCTAAGCTACCGTGACACTTAGAACATAGGGTCTACTGGGAAAAATTAGATGACCCCCCGGCTCCCGAAAAACTCCTGTCGATCTCTACGCCAAACACCTGTATTTTAAAGTTACGTAAATACATTTTATACACAAAAGACTAGATAAAATTATGTCTTTTATGATTTATGTACGGGATCCACCTCATGATAGTAGCAAATTATAAAACTATTTAAGTATGTTAACCAAAGTAATGTTTTTATAATGTAAAACACTATTTTTTATTTACAGTACGGAGAATTATCACCACCCCTTCTTTCAATAATCGACTTAGCGGACGAGTTGCGAAAGTCAGAAGACAACACATTGAAAAGTCTCTCCTCTTCTCTGTCAACGCGACAGCTGCTCAGGATTGCTAAGAGAATGGCGAAATACCCTGCAGACTCTGCCTACGAGACTGTTCAGCGGACATTTTTAGCGAAATTCCTACCTAACTTGGCCAGACGTGCGCTAGATAGCGCTAGTCAAAAGATCGGTATAGAAGCACCATCTCGTTTCGGTCTTTTTGGTCGAGGCGAAGGCAAAATGGTCTGTAATGTCCGAAATGGAATATTGACAATCGGTAATACAAGCGCGGAAGTATATAAAACTGAGGCATTAACCAAAGTTCCCGATATACTTTTCTATGATGTACCCCAACATATAAAACTATTGGAGTGGTTGCTCCAAGACCTCCAACTCGGCAATCATTTATTGCTAGTCGGTAATCAAGGTGTGGGAAAGAATAAGATCGCAGACAGACTGTTGCAGCTTTTGAATCGCCCGAGGGAATATATACAACTGCACCGGGACACAACGGTACAATCCTTGACAGTGCAGCCAACTGTCAAGGATGGAATTGTCATTTATGAGGACTCGCCCCTGGTGAAAGCGGTGAAAAATGGTCATGTGTTGGTTGTGGATGAAGCGGACAAAGCCCCAACAAACGTGACATGTATTTTAAAAACTTTGATGGAAAACGGAGAGATGATACTGAGTGATGGCAGAAGGATTGTTCCCAAGGATATGATGAACAGTTCTGGAGGCAATCCAGCGAGTTTTATTCCTGTGCACGACGATTTTAGAATGATAGTTCTAGCTAACCGACCCGGCTTCCCGTTCTTAGGGAACGACTTCTTTGCTTCTCTAGGTAATTATGTATAAAAAGTATGATTTCTCAAAGTATTGTAATTTACTGTGCCTTAAGAAAGCCCATCTCATCTCGGATGCTGCTCTCTTTATATATATATATATATATATATATATATATATATATATATATATATATATATATATATATATATATATATATTATAGATGTAAGTGTATCCTGATGACTAAGATAGAATGCCTCGATAGCAGTAAAACGTGAACCCGACTGCTGATCATGAGGTTCTGGGTTCGAATTCCGAGTTGGGCCAAAGAAATCAGTTATTGAGTTTTTCGTCAAGAAACTCTCAGTAGCAATCCCGAGTCTGGATGTCGGCGGTGTTTCATCCCCGTGCTTCCGAAAGCACGTAAAGCCGTTGATCTTGCGCCTAATCTCTCTCCGGCAAAGACATTTAAGTAGTAGTTCTCGTGTCGGTTTGCCGTGCCATCAGATTATGAGAGTAAGGGAACAGAGAGCGCACCTGTGTTTGCTCACCGATTGCGCCCACACTCGGGCACCATAATCCTGTCCTGTGTAGATTGCTAGTCCTCGTTAAGACTGGCCGTTGTGACCGCAAATCGGCCTGGACTACATTATTATAATTAGTCAAAGAATTGTTTTTTTTATATATTTTGAAATACTAAAAATCTAATTTAACTTGAAATGGAAAATCGACCAAGTCTTAAGATTTTTTACGTGGTAAATCCAAGCTGTAGCTATATTGTGGTTGCAGCACGAATAGGTCGGCTCGACCGGTAGGACCACGCTCTCACAGAATACTAGCGTAAAATAGCAGCTTAATGCTGCTGTGTTTCGTATTGTGAACCGGAGACCATTTTTACCCGAAATGAGTGATTCTATCTTAGTCCTCAGGGGTGACAACTCATCTGCATTTTGATTCGAGGATAAAATGTAGGTGTCTATGGGTCAAGCAACCACTTACCATCAGGTGGACTATGAACTCGTTTGTCACCCATTTTCTATAAAGAAAAAAGATACTAGTTGGAATAGCAAAGTTAAACAATATAATGGAGTATTTTATTAATGTGTCAACTACACAATTGTTATTATTAGAACATTTAAGTTTTCTTTATATACATGTGTTTAACCATAAGTATAGTACTTTGATATGAATCCCTTTATATGTTATTATAGGTGACCTGTTGTCATGTCACGCGGTCGATAACCCGTCAATTGAGTCAGAGCTAGAGTTGCTACGATCATACGGGCCCGACGTACAAGAAGATGTGATGAAGAAGCTTGTGCAGGCGTTCGCAGCTCTACGTAACATGGCCGACCAGGGACAGCTGACTTATCCTTATTCCACGAGGGAGCTTGTTAATATTGTTAAACATTTGCAGGTGAATCTGATCTACATTTGACTCCTACATCTATCCTATAACTATATGGGTAAAATATTTATAAAAAGGATGAACGACGATCAATTCATTTTACATCATAAAAGTCTTTTCAAATTTTAGCATAGATAAAGTTTATATGGAGAAGGTGTGCAGAAAGTTAAAATTTTATAATAATGTATGTAACAAAAAAATGCATTCATACTGCCAATATCACATTCATTATAGCCTGTTGTTAAAGAGTTGTACAGAGTAGAGATAGAAGCCAATTTTTAAAAAATGTTGCCATACAAGTAACTACTATTTAATTTTGTGTGATTTCAAATGTTCCCTATTCAATAATTTGTGTATGTGTGTGTATATCAAGACAAAGGAGAGTTTATTCTATATTTTGTATATAAGAATTTTCTAGCATATTATGTGCAGTTGAAAGTGGAGTATAGCTTGCTTAATATACAGACGTAAAAATTTAATGAATTGCGGTCGCATTTCGATCACTAGGCGATCACTAGTACTCGTATGTATAGATACAATGCCGATTCCCATTTCTTACTTTTTCTGAGTGTGAGTGTATTATTCTGAGGAATTTAAAATAACTTTTTACTAATTATTCGGGACCCTTTTCTGCGTTAGTGTCATCCGTTTTTCAGAAACACGTGGGCTACCGTTTCTTCCTCCCGCATGCATGCCCTGTATAGGGGGCTATCAGTAACACCTATGGTAAACAAATGTTTCTTAAAAGAGCCATGTTCTGTGATAGCACTTGTTACTATCCTAATCTGTGGTTTGTTCAGTCGCATTAGAACCTTGGTTAGGCGACTGTTTATTTCAGGCACGGCCTCCCCTAGCTTGTCTACAGTTTACTAAATTTTTTTATTGAAGTTTCTACATACCAGTGTAAAGAGTAAGATACATAATTTTTTTACTACGCGCATCTTAGCAAATTTTTTTAACATCTTTAATATAATGGATTAACGCAAAGTAACGCCTGATTCTATTAATTGGGATAAAGGATTCCACGTGGCAAAAGGAGCTTTAAATACAAACAGCGGGTTCAAAATGCCTTTTAAAAACTAACAGCCATACTCATAAAATCAACATCAATTTAAGAAATACTTAAAGTTGTTTTGGTCTTTCACAAAACGCCAATAGAAAGAGACAGGTATAGAAATAATTAATACACAAATAAAGTAAGCGATAGTCAACGATTATAAGTAAGCATCCTACGGTTTTAATTTCTAGAAATATCCTGAAGAGGATTTGGCAACGGCGATAGGCAACGTGTTCGATTTCGACCGTTACAGTAAGGACATGGCAGACACGCTGTTGGAGGTGTTGCACTCCAGTGGTTTGCCGACAGAGGGCGTGCTGGAGGGACGCTCTAAAGATGCAATGAAAAGATTGCAAATGACGGTTGAAAGGAAAAGTGGGTAAGTACTGAGAATGAGACGTTAATAAGAGACTGAAAGAAGCCTTATAATGTCTGTGTTCCGAAATAGAACCCAGTACACTGGCGAATGAAAATGAAGTCATTAATTGACGCCATATTGTACTGACGTGCCGTAGCCATATTGTGTCCGATATCCCGCCATATTAAAACAATTTTTAAACAGCCTAGCACTAAATCATCGTCATCAGTATCACTATCGGATGAATCAGAATGAATTTCAATAGCAACACGGCTCACTAACATAATTGCTGGTATCCCCATTCTTTACAAATTAATTGAAACAGGATATAATAACTTTTGGAGCACAAAATGACATAAAATAATCGCCAACACTTTTCCAATATGGTGCA